AACATTATCTGCTGGCCCCTCGGACCCCTTGCCTAACCATAGCTAGTAGTACATGCTTTATTGCTAGTGTGAATACAGATTGCTATTATTGAACTAGGCCCCCCTCTGATGACTTCCATTTTTGCCAGATGGATACTTATACTTACTGTATATTTAGTCCATTCGACACATACAAAATTCTCTAGAAGACGGGGGCTCTTGATGGCCTCCGAAGGCTAAAACTGTTGATGGATATCTTATCATCTTGCAAAGATATAGGACGTCGCTCGTCTTTTAATCTATACCCACAAGCAACTGCCACCGAATCGATACATACTGTAAATATACGAAAAGCATCTTGGAACCGGATTCAAACACCTTGACATGATTAAACATCGTCAACACTGCTAACTAATAGAGAAATTTGGGAACAGCCAGACAACACAGTCCCAGTATCGGTGGGCATCGCACAGAGGTAGATCAGACATGCAGACCAACTACAGCTTTAACATGGCCAGGATAACAGCGTGGGAGCCATCTTCCCCATTCACGTCTCCGATATACCCAATTCGGCCGCTCTCATAGGGTGCAAACACAATGGCGGCTTGAGTTAGATCGCGGATAGGTTCCGGGTCAAAGACATGGGATTCTATCGTTGACTCTTCGTCTGCCGCATAGAGTCTGCTGTCAGGCGAAACGTTCTTGAGATGAAGAGCTTTCTGGCTATACGATGTTTGTAACCCCTCCATGGACAGTCCCTGACAATTCGTGTTGACATGCACAGTTGTTCGATGATAACTCCCAGATTTCCAGGGGAGACCCCAGCTGAACTCGAAGAAACGATTGAGATGATCCGGCTTTGCGAAGGAACTAAAAGTGGCCCCGAACACGATTGTACCACCACTCCGAACGTAGGAGATTATTTTCTCGAGAATTGTGGCATACTTTGTTTTCAGGAGAGCAGCATCAGTAGCGAATATCGCGTCAGGCGTATATTCCGAGAGATATCTTACAGCCCCGTCTAGTTTCTTTGCTCGCTGGACCTTTGCTTTCGAAAGGAGGCTATCAATAAGGTCCTTGTACATTTCGTCGAAGAAGGCTTCTGTTTCAAGTGAGAGAAGTAATATTCGCGGCAGACTTGTGGTCTCAGCGGACGGCTGTTGGGAATTCATCTTGTCACTTTAACCGCTGTTTCTGACTGCTCTTAATGGCTTTTCTGGGTTCGTTTGAGCTGATTGGAGACGATGGTCGAGAGAAGAGGGGTTACCAACGTGTGGCAGTTGCCTGGGTCGCGATTTATATTATTAGTCAACCAGGTAGCTAACTTATACTACCTCCATTAATCCAGATGCCCGGAACGTTGACAAGTCTATTGGAAGGGAAAACCATTGTAGCTAGACGCTGTCTTTATTGAAATTGCCTGTTAACTACTAATTGCACCACTTAGTTGGCTGTTTTGTGTTTCGAGGATAACTACCTTTCGGTCCTAACGAACTAACTCCAATCGCCGCAACAATAGCCATGTATGTCATGTCATTATTAATCCCTAGGGGAAAGGATAATATTATGGGTCATAGAAGGAAATTTTTGCCTTTATCAAGTAAAAGTGTGAGAGAGAAAACCAATGGGAATAACAGCAATGGGGAAACATGGGATGTAACTTGAAGTTCTTTTTTGTTGAGATATAAGAGAAAAGGGCGGAAGGGGTCTTGGTCTAGTATGCCCATGCCATCTGCTGCTCAGGGGTCCCAAACAAAATAGGCTGCAGAGTCAAATCAAGCACTAATCTGTGTAAAGCATAGCATGGTATAAAATTGAATCCCAGGTGAAATCGAACACAGTAGCTCTTCCGAAGCGAGGATGGTGTGTGTGTGTGTGTGTGTGTGTGTGTGTATTCATTAGAATTAATTCTGGCTGGGCTTTGCGTTTTGGGTCTGGTTCTAGCAGACGAATCGAGGGTATGGTTGACTTTCTGAGATAAAGCCCGTCTATAGTGGGCAGGCATGCATAGTTGGATGTTGACTGGTTGAACTGGACACGTGTATCATAATTTATTTGCTCTCTTGAGTTGCGAGGAGGGTATAGACCGGGGCAGGGAGCTTGTCACGGCCCTTGAGGAAGTCGAGCTCAAGCATGAAGACAAAACCGAGGAGATTGCCTCCAAGTTTCTGTACGAGGGAGCCTGCTGCATATGCAGAGCCACCTGGTAGAAAATATTTAGACTTAGCATGGAGGGGTATTTCTTTTTTTTTTTTTTTTTTTAAAAAAAAAAAAAAAAAAAAATGTAAAAAAAAAAAAAAAAGAAGGGAGGAAGTGAAGGAACATACCAGTTGCAATGATGTCGTCGACTACGATGACCTTCTGGCCCGGCTTGATGGCATCGCTCTGCATCTGGAAGAAGTCACTGCCGTACTCCTTCTGATACTCCTGGGTGATGACCGGTCCAGGCAGCTTTCCCTGCTTCCTGACGGGGACAAAGGCAGCCCCGAGTCTCAGGGCCAAGGTAGGGCCGAAGAGAAACCCGCGAGCATCGAGGCCGACGATGACATCTGGTTTCTGGTCTGCACCGTAGGTCTCGAGCAGATGCAGCTCGAGGCCCCTGATGAGCGACTCGTGGAGGGCGGGGTCTGCGAAGATGGGTAAGATATCCTCGAACAGGATGCCTGGAGACGGGAAATCCGGGAACTGGCGCAGAGACGAGCGCAGCTTCACCTTAAGACTGGCGAGTTCGGCGGTGCGGGAGGCAGAGGAGGCGGCGTCCCCGGCGACTTGGGCGGTGGAAGAGGCATTGGACTTGTCGCGATAAGCCTGCTGGTTATCGGCGGAGGGGGGAAGGCTCATGCTAGACGGAGTGAAGGGAGACGGTGGGAGCGGGAGAGTCGAGCGTCGCAGCGGACAGATGTAGATCTAAAGAGAGATATAGAGGATATATATAGAGAGAGAAAGAGAGAGAGAGAGAGAGAGAGAGTGCGTGTGTGTGTGTGTGTGCGAGTGTGTAGATGGGAGGGAGTGAGAGGTGAGGTTGGAGGTGAGGTGAGGTGAGGTGAGGTGGGATGGAGGGGAGCAAAAGCCGCCCTGCTAAATAGTTAACTAGTCAACAGCTGAAAATCTCTCCTGACGGGACGCCGTGGCTAGTTGGAGCAGCCCGACCAACGACAGAGAAGAAAAACTCCCGATGATAAATACAGCGGCCGCCTGGGATCCTCTCCTGTTCCCCTGCAAGCTCCAAGGTCCAGCCCTAGCGGAAAGCGAAGCAACCAAGCAGTTAACTAGTTGACTAGTTGCGGGTACGGCAGCGCAACAGCAGCATGCTATAATACATATACATCACAAGTACACAGGCGCTGCGGTTATCCTCCTCTGCGCACTCGCCAGCACCTCGACTCGACCAGACAGGCACGTCCAGCGGGCGGAGGGCGCACGGCAGCCAGTCAGCCAGGCAGCAGCAGGGCCGTCGACAGGAGAAGCCGAAGTCGAACATGCGCTTCTCGCCCTCGCCCTCCGCCCATGCCGGTGCGACTCAAAAGGTCGGTGAAGCGGGAAGAAACACACAACCTGGACGCATCCCGGGATCGAAGAAGGGCTCCAAGGGCCTCTCCCCCTCCCCTGATCGACCTTTCAGCGTTAGTTATCTCTTGGTTTCTGTATTGTCAAGAAAATAAGTTACGGCGGATGGAGCTGCTGGCTGCCTGGACGACAACGACTGATTGATACACGGAGAACTTCCTTGGGTGTGGATATAAGATGGGGGTACCTTGATCCCTCCCCCCTTTTTCTCCCATCTTCTTCAAGATCTACGGCGTGAGCGGGCAGACAGGCAGAAGACAGACAGTCAGTTCAGCCAGCCATGGCCGGCTCGCTTTCTCCAGGAAGGACACGAACTCGCAAACACGACATGTCCGTCTTCATCCACCGGAAGGCCGTCTAGGCCCGTCTTGTCAAAGCATCAAGGGAAATAATATAAAATTATAAATCCCCCCTAATATAATAAATAAGTAAAAATAACAACGACAACACAACAAACAACCAAAAAAAAAAAAAAAAAAAAAAAAAAAAAAAAAAAAAAAAAAAAAAAAAACTTGGTCATACCGTGTGTCACACCATATTTCTCCCAGAAGAGTTCCAGCGTGTCTCACAGCGTTTGTCCCGATGCAACGTCCACATGGAATCCCCGTCAACCCTGGCTGGTCCATCCTCAGTATTCAGAACGCATCTTGGAAGCGTTCGAAGCAGTGTACTCCGTATTCCTAGACCTCCCGTCACCAAAGTCCTTGATCCAATATTGCGTGCTACGATGATATACTTAAGAACGGCCCTTCTCGCCGCTTTAGTTAGCCTCACCCCGCTGTTCCAGCCCCTGCGCTGCCACCTCCTGACGTCTTGGAGCAGACATACCCTGAACTAGCAACACGTCCTTCGTCCAGGACCACGCCACCCCTCTGTAGCACTTGATAGGAGGGTGTTTAAACAGGAGACTGTAGAGAGAGAGAAAAGAGTAGCGGTTAAGAAATAACCTATGGCTTGAGGATACAGGTATAAAATAGGGCGTATATATAGGAGCTTCCCCTATATGGTTAGGGAGGATAAAAGGGTGGTATCTTAGCAATTAGGCGGTATCGAGTATCTAATATTAGTTAAGAGTCAAGGCATTTTCAATTGCTTGAAACTGGTTGAATTCTTCATAGTACAAGGTTAATGGTACAAGACATCCGCTGTGCGTGAGATGCCTGTGTCATCGCGACAGTGTAACTTACGAACGTCTCGTTCCGCCGCTTGACCTCACGAAGCTCTAATAATTCCTCGTCATTCTATCTGCAGTCTTTTCGTTGGTAGTACGCCTATAGTTCAAGCGTATATATCAAACATAGGGATATCAGGCACAAAAAAGGGGGGATTAAAAAAAAAAAATCATAATAAGGGGGTTAGGCACCATCACTAAATACAAACAACCCAAAGTGTCTAAAGGGAAAAACAAGAACGTGGAGCTGTGTACTACCGCCCAAAGACACCGTAATTATACTCTATATGACAATTAGATTGCTGATTGGTATGCCCTGCGACTGGATCTCATATCTCCGTCGGATCCCTACTCCCAACGCATGGTTGAAGTATTCATAGGTTTTTTCTCCGCCCCCGACCATTACCATGCTTATTGGACGAGGTCGAGGGAAGCCCCCGACCACAGTCTGCATTTCATCTAGCAATGGTCGAATCAAGGATGACTCCTCATCTGCTGCAGACTGGCGTCGCTTTTCTCCGGGTTGGGGGTATGAGACAACAACGACAAGTTGCAGAGACGAACGAGAGGGCCGGAAGGAAGGTATGTTTCTCAGTTTGTCAGAAAAGGTACAATCTCCTCGCTTCACTACTATTATTTGGTGTGTCTGGGGGATAGACGGCGGAAGGCGTTTATCACACAGGTGGCCCGCAAGGTAGATACTGGACCAAGAGAGGCGGGTCATTGCGTGTTTGGAACCGGGTGACGGAGGCGTGAATGTTGCATCTTCCTCGCCCGGTAATGGAGCTGAGCCTATCCCAGTGGAGGAAATGGCCGGTATTGAAAACCGGGCTATTGGACGGCGGAATATCGGCGGTGTTACCGATGGGAGATGCTGGAGCTCATCACGTATAAGGGCTGTTACATGACTAAGGAGCGAAGAGAGAGCTGATTTGTGACTCTCGGGTTTACCTGCATGGTCATCTGCCTTTGCTGTAGAGGAGTCAAGAACGGGACCACCACTGACAACTGTGCCTTGGTCAGTAAGAGACGCGGCGGATGAGGAAGAGTTGTTCCGGTAGACGATGTCTGGCTTGACATCAATGATTATGTCCATCATGATAGTGTCAGGGGTTTGTGTAAAATTGGGATCGGTTGGACTCAATGCACTCGTGGTCTCGCGGGAAACGAAAACCTTCTCGTTCTTGCCTAGGGGGATATTGCTAACCACTTGTATACGGAACCCTTCCTTGGAGGAAATGGTATTGCCTGAATACAGAGGAGCATCTTGAATCATACCCAGCCGTAGACCTCCAAAGGATTTAATTAGAATCCCACCTTCAACACGTTCTAAGCTTGGAGGCCCTTGAATCGTACTGGAAAGAGGAGGAAACGTCAGATCCAAAGTCGGCCGCACAGCCATCGGCGAACTGACAGCATCTCGAGGTACCAATGAGGGGGGAAGAGTCCAAGGGAAATATGTATAATTCGATGGAGAACCCAAGTCAGAAAGTGTAACACTAGGACCATCAACCGAAAACTCAACGATGGGAGATTCAGGTTGTGTTTTTGGAGGCGTTAGACGTAGACGCGCCAAGCTTGCTGCATGGAAAATATCCGGCCGGGCAGCGGTGGAAGATACACCGAAGGGGTTCCGCACTGCTGGCGGCCCACATGTGCCTACTGAGGCATTCTTATGTTGCTTCCACTCCTGTTGGAGACGAGGCGGAGTAGTCTGCTTCGCCTTTGCTGGAAGGACAAGCGGATGTCCTTCCGTACTGTAGACGTATGGTGAGTCGATCTTGTTCAAAGGATGGGATGGCTCGAAAAGGAGATACAGGTATTTGGACGTCTCCCCGAGGAAGAAGCTTTCCATCCTATCGCTCTGATCTCCTCTTCTGACATTCTGGAGACCAGCCCAGCCGCATTTGGTCCAGCATCGCCTTTTGATATCACGCAGAACCATCTCACCCACATAAAGATACCAGGGGTCTTCGGTTGCCCTATACAGATAATACGTGGATTCGATGAATTCGGGACGGCCACCCCACCACTCAAGTCCGCCCTCTATGTCTCCCGTTGCAACATTCCAACGCTCCGGAAGGGCCGAGAAACGAGTCCAGAGTGCAGTATTAAGAAGGTGAGTCTCAGCAGCTTCTTCAACGTTACCTGCTAGAGTGAGAAGACCGGGGAAGTACGCACTCAAACTATCCATCCAAAGTGCGCGGGTGGCCCCAGTGGTAATGTCGCCCTGTATGTAGTGAGGATATTGGTAGCTTGAGCCTCTGTATAGGTTGGTTTTTATCGCTTCGAACGATTCCTCCCAGACTTTGAGAAAGCTATCTGGTGAGTGGGCCTGATATGGTAGTGGCAAGAAGTAGTTATCGTATTCATGGAACGGTCCAGAAGCGTTAAATTCCGGCGGATAGCCTTCTGACAACAGTATATGGGATTTCAATGCATATTCAAAAAAGCTGTCCATGCCTGCCCCGATCTTTGTATATCAATAGTGTAAGTTAGTCGTGATATACAGCCAACACTTGGATTAAGAGAACCTCACCCCGGTATAAGTTTGAGTCCATTCTCCGGTCTCAGCATTAATCCCTGCTCCAATGAGCCCCAGCTCACTCCTTCTATCCCATACGCTCCAAAATGCCCGTTTAGCGAATTCTTCATATCTGCCATCGCCTGTCAATCGGCTGAGTACAGCAAACTCCAAAACTAGGCTTCCAGCGCCAGCGCTGCAGTTTTCTGTAATTTCAACAGGACCATCTTCATCATAATCTTCATTGTTGTCGTATCCAGTCCATATTCTAGAGTTGAGCGGGGAGTTAGGATGAAAAGGGACCCCATTTCGTAGGTTGACCCGAGGATACGGAATTCCGGTGGGAGTATAGAAGGCAGGAAGGAGGCGCGTTCCTAGATCCCTGGCAAGTCTAAGCAACTGTCCATCATACACGAACCCATTCTCCCATTCAATTCCGCCCTCACTACCCAGTGGTTTATTCCACAGTTTTGCAAACTCCTTCTCCTCCAGTGGAGGCTCATAGCCACGTATTGGGAGCTCCCCCACAGCAAAGAGATGGGCGCTGAGGAGCCCACCTATCAATAGTTTAAAATGAATCAGCCATTTCATAGTTCACCTCGAGTCCCGATGAAGCATTATATCCTTTACTCACCTAGACCTCGAATCACACTTTCAAACACCTGCACCTTGCTATCAACCTCAAATCCTTTGCTTCGGGACCCAATTCCATTAGGACCATCCGACCCATCCCCGTATAATTCCACTAAATCTCTCACTCCATTCTGAAAATATCTCCACGCCTTGCGGCCGTTCAGATCTGTCGAGTTTGGATATGATAGGATCGCGAGGGTGGATAAGCTGTCGACAAGCGTTAAGGAATAATTCCCTAGGACGTCATTGAGCTCAATATGCGCTGGGTTCTTTCGATCCCGTGTCAACGGCTGGCAGGACACCGGTCGTAGTTCGTCTTCGGGGAAGGCATATTTCATGTAATTCTCAAACCCGTGAAAAAACATATGTTCCGTTTCTTTTCTGGAATATGTAGTTGTGAGTGTCGAGCTGCATGTCGTTACTGTCATATGAAAGGGAAAGGAACCCACCGAAGCTCTTTAATCTGGCTTTCCAGCATGCCCAGGGTGCAGGTAAGCCATAGCGATATGGCAAGCAAGTAGCCCAGCCATGATGATGGGAGGTGAATGGACATATGGGAGCGTCGGTCTGTCGAGCGCATCACCAAGAGGAAATTGGTAGTCGCAATGTCATTAGGATTGATTGCCTCTGTGAGTTCCCAAACCCGACCAGAAGCCGTATCAAGGGTAGACCTGCGTTTATGCCAGTTCAATGCGTGTTGGAATAGTTTGTGTAGTCCCTTAAATCTGCACGCTAAACTAACTACTTAAATTCGGCATGTGGACAGATGTGCGCGTTGGTCGGGTTTACATCAGCGGAGCCAAGGCCGCATGCACGGGCAGTTATTTTAGGCACAGAGTAACTAAGTTGTCAACTACGCGGGAGTGTAGCTTATTTAGATTGTGAATTTGAACATATGCATCGGTCATTATATGATACTTGTTGTCATTAGAGTCGGACGATAACTGTAGGACTTGAAATTAGGCCGTAAAGTCATATTCTCGAGTTTTAGTTGTAGTTACCTAAGTTACTTACGGGAGAAACCCCAACAGAAGCCCCTAGGAACACAAATAGTTAAACAAACACATCAAAATCAGAATCCTCAAGAGAGGCGAATGGTTATTTTGGTATAGTCACGACTAGGACGGAACATTGATTGGGTACTGAGCCGCAGTGGCATTTTGTTTATTGCTCGGTTGGCGCTGTAGTTGAGCTTGTGGAAGTACCCTGTAATTGGGGCTGGAGATTGACAACAGTGGACGGCTGCCCCTCGTCCGAGATATAGCTAGGAGGCCGGTTTGTGCTTGGCGGTCGGGGCTCGCCCATGCTCTGAGAGTGGCAACGGTTGGGTTTCTGCGGGTCGATACGTTGCCAGTAAAGCCGGCTTGGGTCCATTTTCTAATGACTATGTTATCATTCGTTGTCTGTATAATGTAACTATCCAAGTCCAGGCTTACCACACTGCCCCTCCAAAGGCCATATGCTGGAGGTGGAATGGAGATTTGGCCAGGTTTGTTTTCGCCCTCCTCAGCCTCAGTTCCGAGGCCCATCTCCAAATCAGTTGCAAATATGACGGGGATAGGTCGATCAATATGGGTGAAGCTCTCGACCATATCGGGGTCCCGGGTGGGTTGGTTATAATGCACCCGACGTCGGCGCACCTGGCGTCGTTTCGCCGTCATCAGCAATCGGATGAGCGAATGGCAGAAATATACTGTACAAGCCATCAAGGCAATAATTAGAATGATGTGGAATTCAAACTTCTTTCCTGAAGAAGTGACGGCAAGGACAAGATCTAAGCATATAGTTAGTATGTGAATCGAGCACAGGAAGCAGGGACTGGATGGCGACAAACATGTTGTTAGCACACTGGCTAAAAAGATCCCTGAAATGGCACAGTCTATAAGTTTCCTCCTTGTTGATCTAGCTTTCGCCCGCGGCCGCATGCAGAGCAGCCATCCTGCCAATTTGCTCCGACTTGGCTTGTGTTTTGGTTGATGAGGGTGAGCCTCGACGGAACGCTGAATCCAATTGAGTAATACACCTCCTCTATGAATATGGTTCTCGACTCTCTGTTGTGCCCGTGAGCTTGTCATATGGCCACCTGATTCTGTACTGGGGGGTGAGAATGGTAGTATATTATCATTTGGCGGCGCGTTGTTGTCTATCACGGAGCCAGTCGATGAAATAGACCTTCTTCCTGACGAAAGGTTTCGTTCACCGCGTACACTTCCACCTGATCCGGGATCATACATGCGTATCTCCGCTGCAGATAGCCGTGAGGGTTTATAAGAATTCTCTACGCCGCAGGATCCAGGAGGAGAACCCCCAGCAAAGAGAGCGGAAAGGCGAGAGCGGATTTTTTGAACCCGGTCCGCCATGGTTAGTCCACTGACAGCATTATCTTCGGTCGCCATGGTTTGCATATCAATGTCTGGTGGTATCAATTTGCTTGCCCTTGATTGTCTTTGTTGGCGTCAAGCCGCGCCTTGGTAATCTCCTCCTTCAGCAAAAGTGAACACCACGGCTAAACGCGCGTGTAGGCCGAGTTGTTGATATTATATGACAGATTCTGGGATTCGTTTGCCTAGTAAGTTACCCCAAGGCTCCAGAAATACCGAGTGTACAAAGAAGTGTGTAATGGTGGGTATATTATTCGCAGTGGCCGTCAACAAAGATATCTCGCCCAGGAGCACATAAACCTATTCCAAGCCTTGAAAGAGCGTATGTCAGGGTAGACCGCACGTCTATCTTCCTAAAACGAAGGAGAAGGCATCTTCAAGATGTCTGACAACGCTCCAGGCAGAAAACAATAACTCCCAGCAATCGTCTAGACTGCTCGGAATCAAGAAACGAAAACGAAGGAAACAAAAAGGAAGAGGATAACTATATCTCTATAAGATATATATATATCTACGGAGCACAGATCAGGGCACCCTGCCACTGCCAAAACTGACTGACTGGACTAGAAAGATTACTGACCAAGATTGCCTTCCAATGTCAGAACCAGCCGAGAAAAAGCAAGCATGGTTGCTATCCAGCCAGGAAGCGCAGTCTGCCATGTGAAGGAAAAGTATGAAGTCGCCCGTAGCGACTGAGAGGGTGAGTATGGCAAAAGGAAAAAAAAAAAAAAAAAAAAAATTAACGGCCCAACAACCTCCCCCAGGCTGAGCCATGCATAATCGGACTCTGCTATGGACGCCTCCTGGCCAGTGAGGCTGCGATGCGAGGAAGATTCTGAAGCAGGAGAATCCGTGTTTGTGAGGATAAGAGCGCGCTAGGTTTCGGGTTGGCCGCAACCTTGGCACCTTCTGTTAAAAAAGCAAACATAAATACGGCAACAAAACCAAGCTTGATACATTATTGGGAAAATGAGGTTCACGGGAAAGACTAGGTTAGACAGCGCTGTCATTTCTGTCGCTGTAGTTGTGCCTCCCATGCCATGTTTCTGTAGTATATACAGCTCAATCTTCTAGTAGGGTTGCCCCATGCAAGCATAGGTACAAGAAACAGAACTTGAATCCGAAAGGAGGCATAGTAGGGCTGTGATAAAGGCAACCATCCACTCTGGTAGTCGATGCTGAAAGGATGGTTTCTCGGGTGATTTTCGTTTGCATCCTCTTCACCATTTAGATGCTAAGGTAGCTGGGGTACTCGTAGATAGGTATAGGTATGACGCGGCTCAGGTGAGATAGGGTGCCATGGAATTACTGAATACTCTTAATCCAGTCGAAGAACTTAAGGCCTCCTCAAAGGTACTAGCCAGGAGTGAAATGCGGAGATAAAACGGGAAGGTATTATTTCCCGAGCTCACCAAGCATAACCGTTCGATCAGACGAACCAGACACAACTACAGTAGAGAGTTAGTGAACTTCCCTCTGAACGGCCCCTTTCACAAAGCTGAACTTACTAATGGGTTCATCAGCTGGCGTAAATCGAACATCGTTCACGGTTCCCTTGTGACCAGGCAGCTTGTATAGCAACTTTCCCGTCTTGACATCCCACACAACAACACTCCTGTCCCCACTACCAGCCGCGACCATCTCGCCTTTCGCATCCCAACTTGCCCGAATTAGATTCTTTTCGAGGCCTGTCGGTGCTCCATCAAAGGTTCGAATATGACGATCTGCGGGGGCGAAGGGGCGTATATCCCATGTCCGTGCTGTTGAATCATGGGAGTTGGATAAGAGGGTCTGAGAATCCGGAGAAATTTGTAAAGATGAGATCGTATCTGTATGTCCAATCATGGAATACGTGATGGCGCGCTTCCGGATATCCCAGACATGTATATCATTTTCAATACCACCAGAGTATATCTCGTTCCCAGCTTCGGAGAGGGCGACAGCAGTCACAGGCATCGCGGTGGATGATTCAAGATAATCAATGGCGGTCTTTTGGCGAGGATCCCATATGCCGATACTTCCATCATCGCTACCACTAATCAACAACTCCTGGCCACGCCGGCTGATATCCAAACAATTAACGATTTCAGTGTGATCTATATAGCGCCGTATGCGTGTGCCTGATTCCAGGTCCCAGCTCGCCAGGGTCATATCTGCGGAAGCCGAAAAAAGGGTATGTGAGTCCCGGGACCATTGAAGGTCGAGAATGGCACCTTTATGACCGGCTAGTATGCCATAATTTTCGCAATTACCGTACGTTCGCCATAATACTGGTTAGATTATCAGTTGTTAGCGGTGTTTGAAATGTTCTCGCTTGGAAATAACGCGGGATGAAACGGAGGACAAAAGGGAAAAGAACGCGATGGCGTACGTATAGATCGGTCCATTCCAGAAGAAGCTATATGTTGGCCGGTAGGATCAAATCGGGTAGAGAAGATCTCGCCTGAATGGCCTGTAAGCTCCATGATAGGAGCAGCGAGGCCGCTTGTCCGGGGTACCTTCGGTCCTTGTTAGAGAGCAATCCAAGGTATGGACTGAAAATAATCAATTCCTTCCTACTTACAGACTGTATAAGAGCTCCATTCTTCCCGGTTCCACTGGATGTAGCAATGGCGCTCTGGTTTAGATTGCTATCTGATCGTTGACGCTTGACAAGTTGTACAGACCCGAGGGATTCGTGCGCTGGTCTCTTTTCCGCAGACATCATGGCAGCGTAGACAGTTAAGCAATATGGAGGCGTGTATGCTGTATGTATCTATGTCAAGTCGATGTAGTAGGTGTGGGTGTCGGGTCGCTAGATGTTGCCTGTGGTCGTGATTTTATTTTTTAGACGCGGTGAAATGGGAAACGCGGCTCGGCGGCTAACTTGTTAACTAATTAACTAACTAGTTAACAAGTTAGTTACCGCGCTTAGCTACAACTACCCACCAGCTTTTGTAAAAGCGCCACCTTATTACGAACGAGGTCTAAAGTCTTCCAGTTAGAACATTAAAGAGTATAATAAGTGTGAGGCTGGAGGCATTTGTCTGAGAGTCGAACAATGTCGAGCAAAGCCGCTCGGATTGGCGAAGAGTATAACTGCCTCCCCTTAGTACCCAGAGCTAAAGATCTGGCGCGAACCCATGCTAACTTGAAATTTAGGATATGGAAGTACGCACTGCTCTGCCCGTTTAACAGCCTTGGCTCTGTTCTAACACGT